ATCAATACAATGTGAGCCATTTTCAAATACTGCATTTTATTTTACATTAATCTTTTGATCAATACAATGTGAGCCATTTTCAAATTGATCGCAAAATTCTGGATTGCAAATCGAATTAGATGAAAGTTCGGTTTCAGTTTGGATCATGTGAAAATCATTTTTGGCTTCTTGATTTTTTGGCCGGTTTTCTGCTTTTGATAATAAAATATCGAAACGATTGAATAACTGATTTTATTTATTTTATGTTACTCAGTTCGTCTCAATTTTTAGTTCCTCTTTCAGCTTATGAATTATAATGTGTAACTAACGTTTCGTTATTCTTAAGTCCTGTTGGTTGAGTTTTTAGAGTTTTTATGATGTAGTGTATATGTTTTCAATTTCAAAGTTAAATTGTCGTTAATTCATTTTTAAAAATCTACATTCGTTATAAGCTATAATTATAAAAAAGTACACATCAGTCATCTAGATGAGGTCCATTTGACAGTAAACATTAAAAGCTAAATGGAATACTAGTTCCATATAATACTAGGAAATTTCACTGGGTACGACTGCTCCGTATTATATTGAGCTAGTATTCTATTTAAATTTTAACGTTTACTATCAAAAGTACTTCATCTAGAGAGCTTACGCCTACTTGAGGAGTTACTTATGAACTTTTGAAATTTGAAAGATCAATCATGCACAACTCATAAAGTTAAAGGACTATTCATAGACTTTTGAAACTTAAAAAACCAATCGTGCATAACTTATAAAATTGAAAGACCAATGATAGATTTTAGCCTTTGAAAAACAAACGTACACCAAGTATAACGTAAATGTTTCTGTACATGTGCTTCAAATGTATAAAAGGTATAATGAGACATATTTTAAAAATGTGATCGGTATTATACACGAACACATTAATAAACATATTACATACACCCGTTTCCAAAAAAATTGATTGAGAAGATGAAAAGTTGAGTTTAAAAATAAGGATATTTTGGTTGAGAGGGTATTGCCAAATTTAAAGTACGACTTTAGTTTGAAGATGCCCGTTATAAAGGAAATTTGTTTCGCGACCGAGGAAGTTTATATTAGGCAGCGTTCCGTTCATATCAGATCAGACAAAATTTAATTGGATCTAATCAGTTCAGAATCAATCATATCAGATTAGATCCAATCAAATCATATCAGACTAGATCAGATTAGGTCCAATCAAATTAGATCTAAACACTATTATAATTATATTAGTATTATTGTTATTCATATAACTATTACTATTATTATGATTATAATTATTATTACTATTGTTATTATTATTATTATTATTATTATTATTACTATTAATATTGATATTATTATTATTATAAATGTTATTATTATTACAATTATCATTACCATTATTATTTTAACTATTATTTTTATTATTACTATAATTACTATAATTATAATTTTTATTACTATGTTTATTATAATTATTACTATTTTTATTATTATTACTATTAATATTAATGTTCTTTTTATTATTATTACTATTTTGATTATGATTATTCTTGTTACTATTATTATTATTAGTTCTATTATTATTACTAGTATTATTCTTATAGTTATTATTATTACTATTCTTATTACTATTTATTATTATTGTTATTTGTATTATTATTACTATTATTATTAATATTTCTTTTATTATTATTAATATTATTATAACTATTATAATAATTTTAATCTAATTTAAATTGAACTTATATCAATTCATATCCAACCAGATAAAACTAGATCAGAACTAATCAGATGAGATCAAATTCAATCAGATGAGACTAGGTCAAATCAGATACAATCAGATCAAAACTTCAAAAAATTAAAACCGATAAGATCAGGCGAATAGAACGCAACCTTAGTTTTGAATTCCGATAAGTCAAATAAAATAATGGTGAAGAGAAGGGTTCCCAAGTGGGAGATAATTACTTAGCTTGTAGTTAAATTTTTACATCGACCTATTTTATAGTATCCATGTTGGACATTCATATATGGGTTAGGTTCAATGACTACTCAAAGTGAGTGGTGTCGGAGGACATTGACGCAATTGGATGGGAGACTAAACAAGGTGCAAGTTCAATTAAAATGTTTGACTTTAAAGTCAACTAAATTTTCATCCCGTAATTGACGTGAATGAGGAGGATGCATTGAAATCGGAACTGAGTGAGGAGTTAGTTTATAATCGGAGGATAAAGAGGAGATAAATTATCAATTTTATGAATGAAACATTTTAAGTGTCTCAGTTGAGTCGGTGTCCTTCGAAGCCTGTCACTTTGAATGATCGTTGAATCCAGCCATTCATATATATACATATACATATACATACATACATACATACATATATATATATATATATATATATATATATATATATATATATATATATATATACGCAAAAAATTACTCCAGGGTACCCTTGATTTTCTGGTAATGACTTTCAAGTCCCATATTATCAGAAATATACTCCGAGGTACCCTTAATTTTTTGATAAGAACTCTGAAGTCCGCATTATCAAAAATGTTCTCCGGGATCCTTAAAATTTATGATATTATACTTCGAGGGTACATTATGTCCATTTAGGTGTTAGGATTGAAAATTCTTTTACTTTGAGAAACTGAATGATTTTATTTAAATTTAATAAAATAATGATTATAAAGTAAAAATTTAGTATTTATCAAAATACCAAAACTTTAATCCTAATGGTCATATACATGGACTGTACATTACGATTAATTTTAAGGACGCTAGTAATATATTTCAAATAATGTGGGAGGTGAGAGTTATTTTCAGAAAATCAAGGGTATCCCGGATCATATTTCACATAATGTGGAACATGAGAGTCATTACCAGAAAATCGAGGGTACCCCAAAGTAAATTTCTGTATATATACTAGATAAATATTTGTTGAGATAGCTAGATATTTGTTTAGATACAAAAAATAAAAATATTATGTGAGAAGGTAGATGTGAACACTAGCGGTCGACCATAGAATGTTCCTTATAAAAAAATTGACGGGAAAGTAAACTCTTTATTACTGAATCGACAAAGGAAAAACATAAGTTGGAGGAGTGGAGATCCATTCACCATGATCGGACCCAAACCTCCTCGCGAGCGTATGAAACAATATTATTACAACTTTACTTAGAGAAATTTATCCAAATAGGACTAAAACATAATGATTTTTCCAATATAGGATCATATATTTTTATTTCCCAATGTAGGACTTTTGGTCATTACCAATTAGTCATTATTCAAGTAAATGTTCATCTTTACTGGACAGTATTCCTCCATTTGACATTATTAAGTCATACTCCCTCCGTCCCCAATTTGATTACAATTTTTTTTCTCTCTCCTCTCGATAACTTTTGTTTGTTTACGCGATTTCATCAAGTATTTGATAAAATAAAATATTCTTGTCACCTCTTATTTTGTAGAACTTTTGACGTAGTTTTTTAATATGTAATTTTTATAACTTATTGATATACCAATTTGTAAATAAAATGATTTCAAAAAGTAGGAAATTTTACTCCGTAACCCGCAATTTGTAATCAAATTGGGGACNGTCCCCAATTTGATTACAATTTTTTTTCTCTCTCCTCTCGATAACTTTTGTTTGTTTACGCGATTTCATCAAGTATTTGATAAAATAAAATATTCTTGTCACCTCTTATTTTGTAGAACTTTTGACGTAGTTTTTTAATATGTAATTTTTATAACTTATTGATATACCAATTTGTAAATAAAATGATTTCAAAAAGTAGGAAATTTTACTCCGTAACCCGCAATTTGTAATCAAATTGGGGACGGAGGGAGTATTTAAGATATATAAAAGTTTAAGTTATACATTAAGAAATAACTTATGTATTAGTCTTATTTGGTGCCTTTACTTATAATTAGTAGGTAGGGTATACATCACAACAAGAATCTTCACTTCGTGTTTATCCAAATTAAAGCCCCGCGTAACCGATCGCATTTTTCGATTTTATTCTAATCGCCACCTTCTTCGGTCGATCCTCCCATGCAAAACAAGTTATTCCTCCCTTTCCAATTTGTTTTTTCATTACTTACAAAAAACATTTTCATCTGTCAATTATTAAAAATCAATTTCGCTTTGAAAAGAAAAAAAAAGAAGAAATGTATGATCCCTAATACGGAGTATTATTATTTCTTCTACATATAAATTTTCATTATTTTACAATTTTATTTTTCTGATACTCCTTATACAAATGTAAATGGAAATTTTAATTATAAATATTTCCTCCGTCTAAAAATTATAATTTTGTTCATTATTCAGATTGATAAATAAATATCATTGGTCGATTTTCGTTGCCCATTGTACAAAATAATAATACAGTCATGTAACTTTTAGCTTTGTAGATTTTTTGATATAGTATTTAGATATTTTCTCCATCTGCTCTCAAACTTTAATCACATTCTTTATCTATTTTCGTTAGTTATTTGATAAGATAATATAGTCATTTCACCTCTTGTTTTGTAGAACTTTAGATGTACTTTCTAATTAAATATATAATTTTTATTTTTTTAATTTTACACATATAATCAAATAAATTAAATTAAAAATAATTTTAGTCAAACATTGTAAATCAAACTCAGAAGAAATTAAATTTCAGGACAGAGGGAGTAATTTTTATTTTTTAAATTCTACATCATTTTTCATATAAAATAATTTGAAAATAGCATCAGCTGAATATATGGTAACGCGTAACATGAAGATATACTTTCTTCGTCTCATAAAGATATTCCAATTTTGATTATGTTAGGAAATTTAAGGAAGAGATATTTTTGTATTGACTTTCCAAAAATACCATTGATGTGATGGGTAAAAGTATGATGTAATGAGAAGATTTTTAATAAAAAGGTATGGTGTGACAAGAAAAAAAGTAAGATGAAGAAATTTTTGGGATAGAGAGAGTATGTTTTAGGACGGAAGTAGTATATAAAGACCTAGCTTAGTGACAACCTTTGCTTGACTCCTCATTCAAAAACAAAACCAATAATGGATTATTCACCACCATCAGCATTATCAGCCCGCAAAAACAAGCGCAGAGGAAGAGGGTTTCTTAGGGGGCTGTGGAATCCAGTCCGCAGTTGCAGCGGCCGGAGCCCGAGTCCGGCCGCCGCCGCCCCACCGCCGGCGAGGAGGGTCGATATCCGCAACGGTAATAATAATCTGGCGGCCGTGAAGAGAGAAAATGTTGCCGGTGGTGATCATGACGACGCCGCCGCCGCCGCCCTTCCCGGTGGTGCTGTTGATGATGAAGACGACGAGGAAGTCGATCGTAGAGCCGAGAAATTAATCGCTTCTTTCCGCGAGAAGATTAGGGCTCCGTCTTCTTCTAAGTAACTGAGCCGATGCATGCATGCATGCCAAGCGGCATATATACGCACAATAATACTTAGTTCTATATTACTCTGTAATTATTATTATTTGGGTACTCTCTCCCTTACCTAATAATGTTCTTCAATAGGGCGGTAAATGGATAACCAAAAATTCGATTACCGTCCGCATCCGTGTCCGTTTGTATGGAATATATCCGCATCCGTTAAAACGGTTATTATCCGTATCCGATTAGGGATATTCGATTGCTAAACGGATACGGATTTGGTAATCACACATCCGATCCGTTTATAATCCGCTTCGCATTGACATCCGTTTAAATAACCGTTTATCCGTATATCCGATCAGTTATATATAGTTTTTCCTAATTTTTTATTTTTATATTTTGTTTCTCTATTGATATCTCGAAGTATAAGACATTTTTATATTCAAAATATATGTGTAGACACATAAAAATATCTGTAGACATATAAGAATATGTGTATATATGTACTGTGTATATCTTTTTATGATATAAAGTTATCGTAGAATATCATAAACTATAGAAAATAAGAAAATAATTACCTCGTAAAAAATTATAGTTGATTTAATAATATTTTGATTTAGTTTAATTGAAAATTAAAGTATTGTTTAATTTGGTTTCAAAAATTGGAAACGGATACAGATATATCTGATATCCGACCGATATCCGACGAATGCGGATACGATTTTGATTTTGCAGTATTCGTCAAGATCCGTATCCGAATTCGATATCCAACAAAAATAAATGTATACGAATTTGGTAATGGAATATCTGATCCAATTAGTATCCGTTTACACCCCTATTCTTCAATTTCTTTTTGCTCTGCATCACATAATTTCACTTTCTTAGTCTATGTGCCCTAACAAATAAAACAATGGTGGAACATTAATTCGCGACATAGGAAGTACAATAAATTTTACTACTTCCGTCCCTAAGTATTTGTCCAACAATTTTGACCGAAAAAAGTCAAATATGGACCAATACCCAGAGACGGATGGAGTATGTTTTAGGCCTCACTTTGAGAACAATGGTTCCCATGACATTGAGATTCAATGTCATGGGATGACCCGAGGTTCATACGATATTTCATTCTAAAAATTGATGGTTTCTACCCCTTAACCCCATGATAAACCTCCCACCCCCGGCCCGGCCAGAACCCCCCCCCCAATATATAGTGTTTTGAATTATTAACTTCGTGTGAGAAAATTTCTCTAGTTTTGACTTTTTAAAATTAAAATGGATAAATATTATTGACGATTAATTATATTCAATAAATTTCATAAGTTCTCCGGTCTTAAAAGCCTTTCATGTTTTGACTTTTTTAGTCAATGAGTGACACTCTTTGACCACAACTTAAACATAATTTGAATAAATAAAATGATATAAAAAGTTGATATATCAAGACTATATCCTTATATGAAACCAATTATATTAAATTTATATTATAATTAGATATAATTTGTCATAATTTGTCGTCAAAGAGTGTCATTGTTTGACTAAAAAAGGTCAAAACAGGAAATGTTTTAGGATCGGAGGGAGTATTGGATATTCATAGTTTGATAAAAGAGTAATTTTATTATGTTTGTCTTAGCGTGTAAAAGATTTTCAAAATATTATTTCATCTAATTAATATAGCATGTACTCCGTAATTTTTATATATCTATAGGTCAAATGTAGATTCTAATTGACTGCAAAAAGCTAAAATGGACAAATATTCTGGGTAGGATGAGGTATTTTTGATAGTCCATGTTAATTTTGAAAATGTTAATGCTAAATGAAGCGATTTGATACTTAAGTGTATTTTTTAAAACGTTAAAGGCTGAAAGTGTTGTCATATACTCCGTAGACACATATATCTCCATCTCATATCTTTCTTACACGTTGACTTCAATTTGTATGGTCTCCAATCTAAACTAGACTTTGACAATTAATACTTCTATATGTGTATAGACATACATTATAATTAAAAAGGCATAAATAATGCTAGAGTCACAAACAAATAGTTCACAAAATTCACAAACTTGCCTTTCTAACACTTTTTTAGAAAAGAAAATGCACTCAAATAATAAAAGATACTACTCCGTAGTATTTAACCCGTGCCACGCACGAGGTCGAATGCATGTTATTTTTAACTCTGCTCATTTTTTGTTTTAAGTAAATAATTAAAAAATAAAGGTAAATATAATCTAGAATGTTAGATACAACATAAACAAAGTATGCTAACTTAAATTCATCTATATAAAAATTGAAAAGAATGTATAAATGTATCAATTAAATCCAATTTTTTTAAGAAAACTTCAGGATAAACTACATTTTTGGTACAATTGCAAGGGTTACCGTTGTCATCTAAAACTAACAATTTCAATTTTTTCTTGGTTTTCACTCGTGAAACTGCAACGTAAAATTGAGCGTGAGTAAATACTGATTTGGTCAAAAATAATTCAACAAATGATAATATTTGACTTTGACTCTTATTGGTTGTCATAAAGTGGAATGCTTTGTTATTCCATGCCCATCATGGCAATTAATGGGGATAAGAGTTATGGCTTACTCATAGCACATACTCCGTATTTGAGTTGATTTCTTTTCCTTGTACGAGAATATTTAAAAAAACAAGCATTTCATTATTTTATAAGTATGCACTTTATCAAATTTGTGTTATCAAAAAATGCTACGGAGTAGTATAGAAATGGTAAGTGACGACATCATATTTATCTTTCAGTAAATTTTTTATAACATAATTAATTCATTATTCCAAAGCACGACATTATCATTATTCTTTCTATTAATTAATAGTTTTATTTCATATAATACCATATGTATCTTTCATTAGTTATTATGTAACATAATTTATTTTATCATATCAAAGAAGATAAATACTCCATCCGTCCGAAAATATTCTTCCTATTTGACTTTTCTTGGTCAAAGTTTGTAAACTTTGACTATGATATATGAAAAAAATACATTGTATTACGATATAACTTTAATATGAATATATTCATTTTGAAATATAGTTTTCAAATATCAAATTTTTATAAAATATATCCATGTATAAATAAAGATATTAGTGGTCAAAGTACAATTTTGGAGACCGTAAAAAGTCAAATGGGAAGAACATTTTCGGACAAATGGAGTAATAAATTTTTTCTATTAATAAAAAAAGATAAATAATAAATGGCTACTAAAAAATAATGAATTTTTTTTGTACTGAATTTTTTATATTGATTATGCTTTGTCTAATCTAAATGTACTCTATTTGTCTGAGAAAAATTTTAAACATTAATTTATCATTGTTAAATTTTTAAGTAGTAGTACTTTTTTAAATCTGCACTAAGCTTAAATTTATACTACTTGAGAAGATACTTTAAATTAACTAAACATCCAATTTTTCTAAGAATTGTTTTCCTTTATGAAAATCTATGTGAAGCTTGACATGAAGTTTTTATTTAAAAACAATGTGATGTTACAAATTATTTTTGACATACACAAAATGACCAAAGGTTACTCCCTCCATCCTCATATAAAATAAAAAATTATTATTCCATTCAAAAATCGTAGTGGAACAAAATTTGTGAATAAAAAAAGTGAAAGGAAAGAAAGAAAATAAATAAAGTTAGAAGAACAAAAAAGAAGGTAAATATTTCAGTATTTTTTAAAAGTAAAATAAATTAAAATCAAACTTCTCCCAAGTTTGAGTGGTAGGAAGCCCACTCCCCAGGATTAATGGTAAAGTTCACCCAAGTTCGAGCTCCAGTGGAGGCAAAAACATTGACTCTTTGTGCGTCATTAGGTTGAGAATAATATGAATATATATTACCTTATAATAGAGTCAATAGTATTCAAAAAAATAAATAAATTAACACCTGGTCAATTAAATTTATAGAAACATTTTTTAAAACATATTTTCATTATTAATTTGATTAAATATAATATTTTTTAGATCTTTAATTTAATGTAATTGAATATATAATTTACATGACTATTTTACTTTATTAAAAAAACATTCAGAAGTTTATAAATTGTTTGTAATTTTTAAAATTATTTGAAATCCGACATAAATATTAGAAATACTAAATTTGGATTGATTATTTTTTGAAAAGATTAATATTAGTTTTAAAATGACTGAATGGAAAGGAAGACAAAAACTAAAGTTGGAAGAGTCAATAGCATTCAAAATAAGTAAATGAATTAACACTTGGTCAATTAAAATTATAGAAACATTTTTTAAAACATATTTTCATTATTAATTTGATTAAATATAATAT